AAAAAAAAAAAAAAAAAAAAAAAAAAAAAAAGCATTCTCTTAACCCACCTCTAATCTGCTTCACTTAGGACACCAGTCATTCCCATGAACCATTCCCCTTTCCAGGAAGAAGAGGCTGGAAAACCGGAAGAGTGTGGTCTTCACCTCAGCACGAGCCACCACTGAGGCATAGACTACCTCTCAAGATACCGTGGAGATGGATGCCTTCCCCTCATGCCTATTAGGGAGCCAGAAAATACTTAGTAGGCAGACACCCTTCCTTCCTCTGGATATCCCTGACAGAGAGGTATGAACCCAGGCTCTCATTCAAGGAGGAACAGCAGAGCCTTCAGCCTCAAAACGTGCGAGATCACGAGATCCTGTGCTGCTAATGCGGAGAACATACTGTGTTTAGTGGTAGGGGAAGCTCGGGATGTGCCCCAAAGCCCCCCAACCTTTATGTCTCTTTCCCTAGATATATTGCAGGATCTCCCCTTAGGAAAAAGAATTGCTGTTAGGGTTATATTTTTTTGCTCAATGTATTTGGAAATCAAAGTTTCTGACTTTAATTCTGGCCTATCCTTTAGGGCTCTTGAGGGTGGACAAATTCCTTGATCTCTCAGGTGGTAGAGATGGGCGAAGGATAGAGAGTAAGAAACATGGGTGATTAACTCCTTTCATCTCATCCGTGGGAGAGAAGATTCACTTCTGGGAAAATACTTAACCCAAAGTTTCTGACATGTTCAACCACCAGCCCAGATTTCTGCCCTTGCACCAAAGCTATGTTTGGAGATCAGTGGTTGCCAGGTTACGAAAGAGGCTGGACAAGGGACACCAGAGGGCAGAAATCTCAATTAACATGTTATCCCCTCCCTTAAAAGCCAAGTTCCCCCACAATTACAAAGTCCATTTTATTAGTCAAAATCACAATCACCTTGATTAAAAGGATGGGACACTCCACCCTCAGCAGAAAATGTTACAGTTTATAGAAAACGTCCCCATCCCTCCCACACCCCAATTAAAAACTAGAAAAAAATCTGCCCTCCTTCCCTACAATGTCATGGTAGTCTGACTCCTTCAGTGGCACTGCAGCTCTGGAGGGGGCCAGCTCACCACAGCACCCTCCACTTCACCTTGGGGAGAGGAGGGATGCTGGTGGTCAAGGAGGTTAAAACTATTAGTTCCAGTAATGCCAGTTCCCAAACAGGCACTTCCTCCCTTCACCCCCAGGCCCTGGGACCAAGGGGAAATGGACAGAAATGAGCCCAGCCATGAGGAGCAATTTGAGGAGAGAAAACAGAGCCCAAGGAGGTTAGAAGAGTTCCAACATACTTCCTCCCTCCCCCTACTCAAAAAAGGAAAAAAAGGCAGTTTGGGGTCTTTATCACACCCTCGGACCTGAGAAAAAGACCAAGATGTTCAGTCTGGGGAGAGGGTACTGGGAAACTCAGAGCTCATCTACCCTTGAGCCTCCATTGATTTCATCTCCAGGGCAATGGCTAAACTAGGTCCCTTTTCTTGAAAACCTGCACTGTCCAGACTGGAGATGGAGCAATACAGGGCGAGGAGATCAGGAGGGCACCCCAGGCCCAGGGGTCCCCCCCAGGTTCCCTCAGTCCTCGGGTGGGATGCGCAGGGCAGAATACACCATCACCCGACTGTCCTCCTGCCGTCGGCCTGCAGAGGGGAAGGGCGGTGAGTCTTGGGCAGGGTGAGAGCAGAGTACTGACACATGGGGAGTCCTGGACAAAAAGGGGGTCCCCAGGTGGTGGGGATAAGTGCAGATTCAAACCCACCAGTCACTGACTGGCTGAACCCAGGCTGCTCCTGGTAAAGCTTAGAGACTAAAGGTCACAAATGGACAAAGCAAAACCCTGAAGGTGGTGGGATAGACCAATGAGAAGGAGACAGAGAATGTGGGCAAATGGACCCGGGCTGGGGCTAGGCTCAGTCATGGGCAGTGGACAAGCAGGTGGGATCTTTCAGGCGATCAGTCCAGGTAGTCAGTCCTTACACGAGAGGCTGCGCTGGATACTTCTGAGGGACCCTCCAGCTGTGATGAAGGCCCAGAGCCCCATGGAAACAGTTACTGCATAGATGGGCAGCAGGCTGGCCTCATACCAAGGGTTCAGGAATGTCTAGGAATGAGGGTAAAAGTAGAAAAGAGGTTAGATTCTCCCACCCCACCCCCCACCTAATTCCCACACATTCTCTTTGTGCCTTTGACTCAAACCTCCTCCAGATATCACTCTCAAATTCCCAGTCTTTCCCTTCAGAGCACCACCATCTTGTGGTTAAAGGGACTTTTGGTTTTCAGCTCCCTCAAAGGTTCTGCCACTCCTGCTCACAGGAATGCATACGGTTTGGCTAATCCATTCAAACTCCTCCCCAGAGCAGGTGATATAATTGATGCTGAGGTGAGAGACTTCTAAAGACTTACCTTTCCACCTCCTCCCAAGTTAAGTTAAAAATGTTAAGTGAGGACATACTTTCCCCCACATCCCATTCACCATTAAACGCTTGTCTCCCTGATCCAGGCCCCTGTCTCCAACTCACCAGTCCCGATGTCAGTAGGTGACTCCCAACCACCAGGCCCAAAGCCCAGTACCGTCTCCTCTCACAGGCATCAAAGAACACAACTCCCCAAAAGGTATGGAGCAGGATAATGGCTGCTGTCAGAAAGGCTGCAGGGAGGGAGATGGGGATGAGATACATCCCCGATCTTCTCCCAGCCTCCTGAGATGCTGAGCCAAAGAAGTCTCCCAGGGAAGGCCAATAAATCATATCAGGGACAGGGATGAATGGGACATGAGGGTGAGATAGGAATTGGGTCTTACCTGAAGTTAGGAAGTAATAGGGTGAGTCTCCATGGATCCCAACCACACCTGGCCCAAGTGCATCAGCCAAAATATTGATAACAGAGAAGACACCACTGATGATACCGAAGGAGAGACCAGAAACTGGAGGAAGGGAGGGTCTCATCAATGTCAGAGATCACTATGGCCTGTTTACTGACTCCTCCCCATTCCCAGTCACAATTCTTCCACATCTACTCTCCCTCCGGACCACCTCTGTTTGGAAGTGAGGCATGAAGGAAAACAAGAAGCCACTTAGAACATGTGGATGTTTAGAGACTTCCCTAGGGGAGGGGGCTGTCCAACTCCCTCCTCCAATCCCTCTCCCTTGGCTCACCATAGGCCATCTGGCGGATGGAGATGGGTGATCTTCCGTCCTCACTCAGCGATGCTAACCCCTCATCTGCCTTCCTGGGGTAGGTGGGGTAGGGGAAACATGAGGGAAAGCAGGGATGCTCCTTTCCCTCTAATGTCCTCCCTTAGTGCCTCCTCTTCCAAACCACCACCCAGGGGCTGTCCCACTTCCCATAGTGCAATCCTCAGCCCCTCTCTCCTCCAGATCACCTCATCTTCTTACTTAAGCAGCTTGTAGTAGGCAAAGCGGAACACCTCCTGTAGAAGGACAGAGACTGCAGCACCAAAAATCAGGAGGCCATACTGGAGCCGGGCATCTGACCGGTCAGTCACATGGACCAAGATGAACCAGACCACAGAGGCCAGGAGCAGGGAGACCAGCCAGAAAAATGCCCTGAGAAAAGACAAGGGCAATGAGATAGGCAATGGTAGGGGCAGCCAGAAAAATCAAGGTGGGGAACCCGCCAAGGCTGCAGCATGAAAAGTGGAAGTTAGACTTCTGGATGGTTTAGGGAGACAGGGACCAGACAGGGTAGGTGTCTCCACCAAGGGACTCATCTGTAGAAATCTGGAGGCAGGAGAAGGGGTAGAAATCTGATTAAAGAGCATTCACAGCGATAAGAGTCAGAGTGTGAGAGCACGGAAGGGCGAGGTATCCATTCCTGGATCCTCCTTTAGGGCACCTGACTCGGCCGGCCGAGGTCAGCACAGCCCCCTCACGAGTCTTGGCCTTGGGCCTCCTCTCATGTCCCCGGGAGAAACACAGGAGGAATCTGTGCGATCACTGGAAAGCGGAAACCAAGTACGGGAAAGGGCAAATCACCCAGACTCCCCCAGCCGCGTTAAACCTTCACCTACGACTTATCTTCCCCAACTCAGGCTCCCAGGGTCGCCCCAGTTCCTCCAGCCCCTTCCGCATCCCTCTCTGCGACGCTCTCTCGCGTCCCCTCGACCTCCTACTCACCCCGCAACCAGGATGATAACGCGAAGCGGGTCCCCAGCCACAGTGATTAAGAAAAGCGCAAAGGCCGGGCCGAACGCGACGAAAGTGCATCCGAAAAACACCGCAGCCCCCATTGCCGGGCAGCTGGGGGTGGGGTAGAGCCCTGGCCAAGAGAGGCGAACGCGAGCAGCACGCCAGCTGGGAGTCCGCGTGGAGTGGCAACGCGACCCCACAAGGGGCGCGGTGCAATGTCACCCCCAGACCCCGGGGAAGGGGAAGGGGGGGGCACCAAAACCCCAGATGAAGGTCCGCGCGACTTCCTCTACGGAAGCCGAGAAGGGGACAAACCCCGGCCGCAGCCCCATGGCCACCTCCCATCTAATCCCCACCCCCGGAAGGCCAATGGAGAATCGGCGGGGGCGGAGCTGCGGGGGGCGGGGGCGTGGCCGCACGACCGGCTGGGAGTTGTAGTCGCCCTGCCCTCGGAACCTCGACCTCATCCTGGGAGTGGCTCGAGCGGGTCAAAGGCGGTGGACCGGGAATGGCCCAGTCAGGGCATGGATTCCCGGATTCACTTACGCCTCGGCCGTGGTTTCCTTTGGTTACTCTGTGGGATTGGGTGATAGTTAATCCTATCTCTTCTTGAAGGGCTGCAGAGGGGGAAGATCCTGTTTGAATCTAAGGGACAAATACAAAGAGAGCACAGGATAGAGGGTGCAGGGAGATAGGGATGGGTATTGTTCTTACTTGAATGAAAGGAAATGGGCTAGAGCTGCTGCCTGAAGGATGAAGGTTAGACTTAAAAGCAGCTCTTTGGACAGGCTAGTATAGTAAACATGGAATAAAGTATATCATTAATGAAGCCCTTCATCTGTAATGACAAGAGAATCAGAGAGAAGCAAGAGGAGACTGGAGAGAAACGTTAGGGAGACGTTTATAGGGAATCGGGAATTAAAAAGCAATTAGAGCAATGGGGTTGAAGGAAAAGGACATGCCCCCTCCCTCCAGTTCCTTTTATGTCATATTTCCTCTATTTATTTTCGAAAAATAAACCTGAGTGGTGTCTTTTCCTCAGGCTGGAGAGAGAGGTTGCATATTAGAGTGAAAGAAAGTTAAAGTAGGAGAGGACGGTATTGTAACCTCATTTGGATGGAGAGAATGTTTAGTCAAAGGAAGGGAATGGGAGGGAATCTCATCTGAGGTTGGGAAAGTGAGGGAATCTGGAATATTGTTTTTGAGTATATAATCAAAGTACCAAAAAACCATAGAAATTGTTCAAAGAGAACCAGGCTTCCTTTCCTTCCTGCAAGTGATTTATGATTTAATGTATGATTTAATGTATGATTTAATAATGTATGATTTAATGTATACACCCACATAAGTGTTTTACATTTTTTCCAGAAAATTCTAGAAAGGAGCTGAGGAATAGACTGTATAGATTTACGTGGAAAGTCACCAAACAAATCATTCCCCAATAAGGTTAAGAGGGTGGGTGCATCCTGGCCAGTGCTCAAGACTCCGGTGTGTCCTGAGCCCAGCAGGTTGAGTCAGGTGAAGAAAGAGGGATGAGACAACTCTTCCTCAACTCTCCTTTGAGCTGTTACCACAGCCATCTTCTGACGACTGAGAGCAGGCTCTAAACCTATCTTGTTCGTGGGTGGTTCCACAGAGACTTGCATAGTGCCTGGCTCATAGTAGATATTATGAGTAGATACTTTATTTAACTCCCTTTAAAAAAACAACTGCCCATGTGTGGTGGCTCATGCCTATAATCTCAGTGCTTTGGGAGGGGGAGGCGGGAGGATCACTTGGGGGCAGGAGTTCAAGACCAGCCTGGGCAATATAGCAAGACCCCATCTCTACCAAAAAAATAAAATATTAGCCAGGCATGGTGGGGCATGCCTGTAGTTCCAGCTACTCAGGAGACTGAGGTGGGAGGAGCCCTTGAGCCCAGGAGTTCGGGACTGCAGTGTGCTATGATTGCACCTGTGAATAACTATTGCACTCCAGCCTGGGCAACATAGCAAGACCCCATCTCTAAAAAAGAAAACAAAACAAAAAACGACCCTAAAAACAACAAAACCAGATTATGTTCTCCTCTTCCCTTGCCTGTGAGCTCTGAATTGCCTATCGGACTAGGCTTAACACATATCTTGCCAAATGTTTCTGAATTGAATGAAAACGGGAAACATAAAAGCAGAGGGAAGAGGTCAGGCCCAGTGGTTCATGCCTGTAATCCTAGCAGTTTGGGAGGCTGAGGCAGGAGGATCACTTGAGCCCAAGAGTTCCAGGCTGCAGTGAGCTATGATCATGCCACTGCACTCTACCCCAGGCATCAGAGGGAGATCCTTTCTCAAAAAAAATAAAGCAGAGGAAAGAATAAGAACCCTACCCCTGTAGGTCTGAATGAGGGGAACATACCAAGTGACTGAAAGTGGGAGAGAGGGTGTGGCACCTACAGCAGGGAAAGAGACTTATCTGCTTCCTCCCTTCTTCCATCCTGTGTCCAGAAAGTTGAGAAAAAGATGAGGTGAGGTCATTATTACCAAAGAGGAAATAACTTACCATGGCTGAGAGATTTTTATCAGAAGCAATGCAGCAGGTGCTTTGAGAGTCAGACAATGATGGGTAAATATTGTGTGTATCCTCCATAGCCCTAGACAGGCAGAAGAAAGGGACTATTTTCAGTTTAGAAAAATGCTCTCCCCTTCCTCAGAACATTTCCACTGTGATCAAAGAGACCATGAATAAGCCTCAGACAGAAGGGCAACTCTGGATGGTGATGGTAAGCTAGGGACAGTGAGGCTGGGCACAGTGGCTCACGCCTGTAATCCTAGCACTCTGGGAGGCCGAGGCAGGAGGATCGCTCAAGATCAGGAGTTCGAGACCGGCCTAAGCAAGAGCGAGACCCCATCTCTACTAAAAATAGAAAGAAATTAACCAGACAACTACAGATATATATATAAAAAAATAGCCGGGCATGGTGGCACATGCTTGTAGTCCCAGCTACTCAGGAGATTAAGGCAGAAGGATCACTTGAGCCCAGGAGTTTGAGGTTGCTGTGAGCTAGGCTGATGCCACGGCACTCTAGCCCAGGCAACAGAGTGAGACTCTGTCTCAAAAAAAAAAAAAAAAAGTTAGGGACAGTGAGAGGGAGGATGAGCTTTTTGTGAGTCCTGGGAGAGAGGGAGGAAGGAAACGAGAGGAGAGGGGAAGCTCCTTAGTAGGTTTTTTTTTTTTTTTTTGTAGTGGCAGTGGGAGACCCAAATAGATCTAATCCAAGGCTGGAGAGTTTAAAATATGTTCTCATCAGAACTTACTTTTCTTTTTTTTAAAGACAATCTTGCTCTGTCACTCAGGCAGTGGCATGATCATGGCTCATTGCAGCCTCAGATTCTTTGGCTCAAGGGATCCTTCTGCCTCAGCCTCACTAATTTTTCTTCTTCTTCCTCTTTTTTTTTTTTGGTACCGATGGGGGTCTCACTATGTCACCCAGGCTGGTTCTTGAACTCCTTGCCTCAAGAGATCCTCCTGCCTCAGCCTTCCAAAGTGCTGGGATTACAGGCATGAGCCACTCTGCATGGCTAAAATCTACTTTTGCCTCTCTCAATCTGAGTAGCTCTGGTTCAGAACCGGTAGTAACTGAAGAGCTAGTCAGTCAGCAAGTAGGCGGAGAGTTCTGTCCCCTGGGAGAAGAGTTGCTGCAGCTCCTTCCCTACTTTGCAGGAGGAGGGGAGGCGGGGTAAGTTTGGGGGAAACGCTGTAATTTCCTTTTTTACTTTAGCAGCAATAGTACAGAATCCAGAATGGATGTCCTCTTTGTAGCTATCCTTGCTGTGCCACTTATCCTGGGTAAGTCTTCTTCTCTTCCTGAGCTTTTGTGCCAGATCTTCTACCATAAATGAGGGGGGAGAAAAAAATAAGGAGACGGTGAGGGGCATTTCAATGGGGAGCTATAGAGCTTTCTCATCTGTGCTAGGGTCTGGTGTTGGAGGCAGAGCAGAGATCTGGAAGGGAGAGCCAGGAAAAAGAGAGGAAAGCACAATCCTGTCAAAGAAGAGAAGGCTTCCAGAGGATAGAGCCCCAGACTCAGGGAGGGCCTAGCAAGAGTGAACTCAGTTCTCCGTTACCTCAAAGTTGAACAAGATGAGAGGGACTAAAGTGATAGTGAAGGAGAGAGGTGTATTCTTGGAAGGTGGGACAGTCTGAAACTAGTGAGGGAAGTCAGGGTATCTCCTTTCCCAGAGAGTTGTAGAAAAAAAGCATGTATTAGTAAAGACATAGGAGTGAGGTGGCCTTTAGGGTGGTGGAAAACTGGCTGCCTTCAGGGACAGCACTTCAGGGACAGAGTCCCGAGGGTAGCTTGGCTCCTTCCCTCCTTTGTTCCTCAGTCTGCCAGGTGTGTCTCACTGTTTCCTTTTCCTCTAGATTCTTGTGTCATTAGCCTGGAGTTGGAGGGAAAGCATTCAAGGAGCTCAGGGAAACGTTTAGCAGGAGGTCTAGAGTTTTTGATTCAGTCATATCAAAACCACATATTTTTAGTTCTGGAAGGGAAGAAACACTAACAGAGATGTGTCATTTAATCCAGCTGACTCATTTTAAGAAAGTAGATATAGGCCGGGCACGGTGGCTCACGCCTGTGATCCTAGCACTCTGGGAGACCAAGACAGGAGGATCACTCAAGCTCAGGAGTTCAAGACCAGCCTGAGCAAGAGCAAGACCCCCATCTCTACTAAAAATAGAAAATATTAGCTGGGCGTGGTGGCACATACCTGTAGTCCCAGCTACTCAGGAGATTAAGGCAGAAGGATCGCTTGAGCCCAGGAGTTTGAGGTTTCTGTGAGCTAGGCTGATGCCACAGCACTCTAGCCTGGGCAACAGAGCAAGACTGTGTCTTAAAAAAAAAAAAAAAAAAGAAAGAAAGAAAGAAAGCAGATGTTAAATGGCTTGTTCAGGGTTATTTCACTAGTTAGCAGAAAAGCTGGAACTAAAACTCAAATTCAAAAGTCTAAGGGTATGTGTTAGTTGTGAGAGACACTGATTAAAGAAGATCTCTCACAAATACAGTAGGGTCTAGAGCATACTAAATAGAAGATTTGGTGTTTTTAGTTTCTGGTCTCTCTCTTCTTCCTCCCTTATTTAGGTTTAGTTCTCCTTTTTGGGTTTATAGTGTGTGCAGGGACCTGTCTAAGGGCACAGAGTAACAGGCCTCATTACAGACATGGAGCCCAGAAGACTGAGAAGGGTTTAGAGATGCAGACGCAGGATGACAGTATGACCCTTGGAGGGGAGGCAGAAAGAAAGGAAACTGAGGTCGACTCCAGATGTCCTTCTGCTGGTAAGGGGTTCCAAATGCCCCTTGACCTATAGTCCTTGTCCCCATAGGACAAGAATATGAGGATGAAGAAATCCTGGAAGAGGATGATTATTATCAAGTGGTCTATTATTACACAGTCACCCCCAGTTATGGTGAGTATGTGAAAGGCTCTGACCCTTAGCTGGGTAGAGAAAGGCCTTGGGGATATTTAGTCTTGAATCTTTGCCCTTCACTTTGCAACAGAGCAAATGGGTCAGAGAGAAATTTGGCCATGAACAAAAACTATCAAGACTCATATGTTATTTTTCAAGCTAGTGATTTTTAATTCTTTGGAAATGGTTGAAACAACTTGAAAAATTTCAAATTTGTAAACTATTTTAAATTCCAGATTGAAAATATAAATGCATACACATTCACAAACATTTTAAACATTAAAGTTCATTAAAATTGGATTATACCAATAAATTTTATAATTTTAGCAAATTGAAGTATTCTGAGCAATCTCTTTCCTTTTCATTTCTAGATACAGAGTTACCTTTTTCTTTTGTTACTACAGATTTTTTTTGTCTCCCACAGATGATTTTGGTGCAAATTTCACCATTGATTACTCCATGTTTGAGTTAGAGGACAGGCTGGTGAGTGACCTCTACATCTATGAGGATCAGGATAAGTAACAGTTAAAAAGAAACTGGGGGCCAGGCTCACACCTGTAATTCTAGCACTTTGAGAGGCTGAGGCGGGAGGGAGGATCGCTTGAAGCCAGGAGTTTGAGACCAGCCTGAGCAAGAGCCAGACCCTGTCCCTACAAAAAATTAAAAAATTAGCTGGGCATGGTGGTGTATGCCCGTAGTCCCAGCTACCTAGGAGGCTGAGGCAGGAGGATTGCTTGAGCCCAGGAGCTTGAGGTTACAGTGAGCTATGATGATGTCACTGCACCCTAGCCAGGACGACAGAGCGAGACCCTGTCTCAAAAAATAAAATTAAGGCCGGGCGCGGTGGCTCACGCCTATAATCCTAGCTCTCTGGGAGGCCGAGACGGGCGGATTGTTTGAGCTCAGGAGTTCGAGACCAGCCTGAGCAAGAGCGAGACCCCGTCTCTACTAAAAATAGAAAGAAATTAATTGGACAACTAAAAATATATAGAAAAAACTAGCCAGGCATGGTGGTGCACGCCTGTAGTCCCAGCTACTCGGGAGGCTGAGGCAGGAGGATTGCTTGAGCCCAGGAGTCTGAGGTTGCTGTGAGCTAAGACGACGCCACGGCACTCTAGCCCGGGCAACACAGTGAGAATCTGTCTCAAAATTAATAAATAAATAAAATAAGATGAAATGAAACTCAGGAATGTCAAAATGTAACTGATTATCAGGAATGAAAATGAGTTAGAGGAAGAAAAACTAGGTAGTAGGCCTACTTGTTAACCATAGCTGGGAGGATAAGGAAGCCAGACCCAGTAAGTTTACTAAGACACTGAGGAAGGGCAGTCCTTGAATCAAGGGACTTGTTGCATGGGATGGATACATAATCCATGCAAGCACAGGGTAGGGAGGATCCCTGAGTTTAAGTCTTTGAGCGGGGAGTGAGAAGGGGGACAGGTAAGAAAGGGGAGAAGAATTCTAAATAGAGAATTCTGAGGATGTTGGATGGAGAAGATAACTCTGTGTTTTCCAATCCTACTGAGGGTAGAACAGGTTGGATCAGAAGGTAACAGAAGCAGTAGAGACTACCACTAGTCTTGAAACAGAAGGTGCAGACCATCAGAAACCTGTAACCATGAAACCAGTAACAATGGAACCAGTGAGTTGTTTGGGGATTGGGGGGAGGGAGACAAGACATCCCTTACCCTGGATCAATGCCAGGGCTGGTGACGTGGAGTAGACAGAGCGCTGGAATACCAGCTTTGGTGGATGGGGGAACAAGTAACTAGTACTTCAATGTAGGTGTTCATATCAACTTGACTATCGTATCTTTCACTGAGATTTAATACTAACCCTCTTTACAGTACACTGGGAAGATATGCAGCAGTTAAATTTCAGTTCAGTAGTACTTAATGTATACGTAATCCATGCCTAAGTCTGTTGAGGATCCTGATGCTGATGAAAAAGAAATTTGTGATGTGGTTATTGCTCTCAAGGAATTTATAAAAATCAAGTTTACAATTTAGGGCAAAATGAAAAGGTATGTTACAGTGTTAAATTACACATAAATTTGAGAGCATATGACATAGGATAGTGCTTTAGCCAGTGTAAGGAGAGAGATCGGTATGGGCTAGAGTTGTTTGGAAGACTTTTAGGAGGTGATTGTGTTTGAAATACACCTTAAAGAATAGGTGAGCTTTTGGGCCGGGCACGGTGGCTCACACCTGTAATCCTACCTCTCTGGGAGGCCGAGGCGGGCGGATTGTTTGAGCTCAGGAGTTCGAAACCAGCCTATGCCACGGCACTCTAGCCCGGGCAACGCAGTGAGACTCTGTCTCAAAAAAAAAAAAAAGAATAGGTGAGCTTTTGATTGGTGGGAAGTTATGAAAGGATCAAAGCAATTAGGAGGAATAGTTATTCCAAGAGTGAAAGAGCTGCATAGGTGAGAGGAATAGAATAAGCATGGTATTTTTAGTGGATGGGGTACGACCGAAGGGGAGGGTATATGGAGGGGAACAATGGGAATTAAGAAAAAATAAAATCTACAAGCCTTCTAATATTTGGTTGGTAATTTCACATATGGCAAGATAGGGCCACAATATTGAGAGTCTGAAGTGTCAGGGTGAAGTTTGAACTCATAACCAACAGGGAGCCTAGTAAGGGAGGGGAGAACTAGTAAGTTCTTCAGTATGGTAAAGATACAATGAAAAGAGGTATTTTAGAAAAAAAACATTCATCTGATTGTATGCAGGATGTAACTTAGTGGAGAGTGATTCATGAGATTTGCATTGTTCCAGAAACAATCTATTAAAGGCCTGGAAGTGGCATTATGAATGAGAGGAGAAAAACAAGAAATATTTTGAAGAAAATGTCTTACTTCACATAATAATTTCATATGAGGAATAAATGAGGAGAGATTTAAAATTATTTACAGGTTTTAAAAATGGATGTCTAGGAAAATGACTGACCAAAATGGGCACTATGGGAGGCCACAGTGGTTTAGGAGGGAAGTCATGAATTTGATATTGACCAAGCTGAATTTATAGTGACAGCCCTATGAGGGTATCCTAAGGGTAGCTGAACTAGGTCAGGGCTCGAGTTCTAAGTGCAAGTCACAGTTACAAAAGTAAATGAGCTCAACAGAGTCAAAGCTCGAAGGCCAGTAGACTGACTACAGACTGTGCCTACAGTTAATAGGAGGAAGAGGAATCAACCAAAGTAATGGGGAAGGATTGATTGGAGAGGTAGGTAGGTAGCCACATTTGTATTACAGAGTCTAGAAGAGAAAGTTTAATATAATCAATCAAAAGCTACCATAGGGCCAAGGAAAAGTATGTCATTGATAACCCCAAAGAAAACAGTTTTAATTAAATGTTTGGAAAAAAAGCTAGATTTTGTGGAGTTAAAGAGGGAGTACATTATGAGGAAATGGAGGCAAGTATAGACCAACCATCTGAAAAATCTGGTAATTTTAAAGAGAAGCAACAGCTGGAAAGGAGATCAGGACCAAAGAGCAGCCTGCATATAGTTGAACACAGATGGGAGGCACCAGTAGGAATGGAAAGTAGAAGATTAACAATAAGGGCAGATAAATCTTTTTAAAGTATATAGTAGGCTCCCTTTAGATTGTAAATTCCTTGAGGACAGGTACCATGTCTTATTCATATTTATATCCCTCCCTATAGCACAGTGACTAACATAGTGTCATGCACAGAATAGATAAAAATAGGTGTCATTGAATTGAATTGGGGCCTCCCATGTATGGTCAGGGATGGCTGAAAGTCACAATGGAAAGGACTCCTTATAGTGATGGGGAGGAGGGATGGATCTTTCTCTAAGCCCAGAGGAAAGGAAGACAGGGGTTAGTGTAAAGAGTTGGCTAATCTTCTGGACAGAGAGGGGGAAGTGGTACGAAGAATGATGCTGGCTTACAATGGAGGGATGTTTGTATTTTAGCAGAGTCCAGATCTGAATGATGCTGTGTCCGGTCTGCAGAGTCCTGTATCCCTCCTTCTGTGGTGGGCCCTAGTTCAAGGAGGGATGTATTTCATGTAAAAGGTGAGAGTGCAGCCACTGGCCTTAGGAAAGTCTGCGAAGTAATTCTTACCAGTAGCTCTGGCTAGTGTTTCCAGCCTGGTCAATTCTCAGCTGCTTAAAGAAGGAAGAGGGATCGTATTTAGAAAAATATTATTATTTAATCTTGAAGTTTATGAGAGAGATGTTGAGGCAAAGATTTTTGTGTTGAGTCCTTAATTTTTCTGAACTAGGAGGACTTCAGGACCTCCTACAGCAGAGACAGGTGGCATGGAGAAAAAAACCACTGCAGCATTCCTGTATGCCCTGAGGAATCAGAGCTGGTTCTAGCCTGGCCATGTTTCAAGGCATGGCAGGTGCCAGAGGGCAAAATGGGCAGGTCTTGAAACCTGAAAGAGTCAAGAGGCAAAGTTCAGTGGTAGAAGGGGTGGCAGTTCCCTGATGTATGGGAGAGAAAGAGTGGAAAAACAAAGAGGGAAGAGTGCTGTGTTATAGGGAAGGGACTTAAGTTGAGATTCTAAATATTGGGCATAAAGAGATTTAGCAGGAGGAGGAAGGAGTGATGAGGCGAGGAGACACATCTTTCTCAGAAGATATCACAGGGAAATCCTAGCTCAGAATATGAATTCTGGGGAGTTTTCATAGAGGGGTGGGCATGAAGGGGGTTTCCTGGGTCTCCTGACCCTTTTTTTGGTTTTTTTTCCCCCCTTTCTTTCTTTCTTTCTTTGCTTTTTTAGGTGGGAAAGACTGCTATGACTTTTTGGATGGGGATTTGGCAAGAGGAAATTGGAAGATAAAATAAATAATAAGTGAAATAATCTGGTTACTGTCTACTCCTTCATAAGGATTTGTTCTAAAGTCACAACACTAAAGAGAGCACCAGGATTTGGGGGCAGGAAGGGTAGATTAGAAAGAGTGTTGGGTGACAATAGAATTAA